TTTGGAAACTCGGGCGCTGCCCAAGGGCCTGGGGTCAGTAGGGGGCCCCATGAGATGCCCCTGGTACCTTTTTCATAGGCTTTTTTGAGTTTGGGCAAGGACACAGGGGCCCTATGAAGCCCTATTGCCCGGGGGGCCCCATGAGTTGTCAGTCCGCCCCTGGTCTTAAGGGTTCGTGCGCACTAGCTTAGAAAACACTAGTGATCTTAGAAGAAAAAAACACTAATTCTGAGCATTTTTGGTACTACCATTTAGGGGCATTTAGCATCATTTAGGAGCTCTTAGCATTTTTTTTCTGCCAGAAAACCACTCTCAAAAATGTAAACCAGAAGAGTTTTTTTCTGCCCCTAAATTCTGAGCTTAAAATATGCCTCTAAATGACCTAATGTGCATGGACACACAGAATAACATTAGTTGCTTCTACAGGCAAAACATTAATCTCCTCTAGAAGCAGCTTTTTTTTTTAAGCCAGTGTGTATGGACCATAAATGGGAACTGTATGGACAAGTGTTTTAAATTTTACTTACCTGGCCTGGGAAGTGGTGTAGTACTGTACAGCTCCTGTGACTCTTTAGGCTGGGAACCAGGAGGGCCCCCACTGTCTCTTTCAAACACAGGGTGTTCCACTCTGCTGATAGGTCGCCATGCCTGCTCCCATCCCCAGATCTTGTGGATATCACTATGCTGCTAGTCACAATGCCCGAGGCCATAGCTTAATAGCAATGAGGAGGTGATTTCATGGTGACAACCCCAAGTACAGGTGTACCTCGGTTTACGAATGCCTCGGTTAACATAACATAATTTTCTGTTTTCGAATGAAAATCCATTGAAAATAATGCCTCGGTTTACAAATTTTTTTCGCAATACAAATGGATTAATTGGTTTTCAATGCATTTACAATTTTTTTTTAATCATGTCCCTGTACAGTATTTTTGCCTTTAAAGTGCACTTTATAAAGAGTTTTGAACAGATAAGACTTTTTTTTTTGACTTTTTTCTGACCTCCGGAACGGATTAATTGGTTTTCAATGCATTTAAAAAAAAATTTTTAATCATGTCCCTGTACAGTACTATGCATTTACAGTGCACTTTACATAGAGTTTTGAACAGATAAGACTTTTTTTTTTACTTTTTTCTGACCTCCAGAACGGATTAATTGGTTTTCAATGCATTTACAATTTTTTTTAATCATGTCCTTTTATGCCTTTAAAGTGCACTTTATAAAGAGTTTTGAACAGATAAAACTTGTTTTGACTTTTTTCTGACCTCTGGAATGGATTAATAGTGTGTATGGACCCTAAAAGGGAACTGTATGGACAAGTGTTTTAAATTTTACTTACCTGGCCTAGGAAGTGGTGTAGTACTGTACAGCTCCTGTGTCTCTTCAGGCTGGGAACCAGGAGGGCCCCCATTTTCTCTTTCAAAACACAGGGTGTTCCACCCTGCTGATAGGTCGCCATGCCCACTTCCCATCCCCAGATCTTGTGGATATCACTATGCTGCTAGTCACAATGCCCGAGGCCATAGCAATGAGGAGGTGATTTCATGGTGACAACCCCAAGTACAGGTGTACCTCGGTTTACGAATGCCTCGGTTAACATCATTTTCTGTTTTCAAATGAAAATCCATTGAAAATAATGCCTCGGTTTACAAATTGTTTTCGCAATACAAATGGATTAATTGGTTTTCAATGCATTTACAATTTTTTTTTTAATCATGTCCTGTACAGTATTTATGCCTTTAAAGTGCACTTTATGAAGAGTTTTGAACAGATAAGACTTTTTTTTACTTTTTTCTGACCTCCGGAACGGAATAATTGGTTTTCAATGCATTTACAAATTTTTTTTTTTAATCATGTCCCTGTACAGTACTATGCATTTACAGTGCACTTTGCAAAGAGTTTTGAACAGATAAGACTTTTTTTTTACTTTTTTCTGACCTCCGGAAACGGATTAATTGGTTTTCAATGCATTTACAATTTTTTTTTTAATCATGTCCCTGTACAGTACTATGCATTTACAGTGCACTTTACAAAGAGTTTTGAACAGATAAGACTTTTTTTTTACTTTTTTCTGACCTCCGGAATGGATTAATTGGTTTTCAATGCATTTACAATTTTTTTTTAATCATGTCCTTTTATGCCTTTAAAGTGCACTTTTATAAAGAGTTTTGAACAGATAAAACTTGTTTTGACTTTTTTCTGACCTCCGGAATGGATTAATTGGTTTTCAATGCATTTAAAAAATTTATTTTTAATCATGTACCTGTACAGTATTTATGCCTTTAAAGTGCACCTTACAAAGAATTTTGAACAAATCAAAGACTTTTTTTTTACTTTTTTCTGACCTCCGGAATGGATTAATTGGTTTTCAATGCATCCCTATGGGAAACCACATTTCGGTTTACGAATTTTTCGCAATACGAAAAGTCCCGCAGAACGAATTGAATTTGTAAACCGAGGTACATCTGTCATTTTCCCTGAATAGCATAACAGTGCCACAATACTAAACAAAAAAAATGCTACAATTATTTCACTTATTAAGACTGGCACTATACAATTTTCTGTCCAAATTCTGCCCAATTTCCTTTAGATTTACCTTCAACTATGTAGTGCAAGAGCCTGCCTAATATGATACAATTGAAAGTGTTGTGTTTAGGTTTGACCTCCTTTTATATGGTTTTTGGTAAATCTAAAGCAATATTCTCAAGAAAATTGTATAATGTATGGCCAGGCTTAGTAAGGTTTGAGCACCGGCAGAATTAACAGGTATTTATACTGTTGTAAAACCACCAAAATGCCAGACAAACCATGCAAGTGGATGGATTTTTTATAGAGATTTTTAAAGAGTATTTCTTTTTTTCCAGGTTCACTTTAAAGGGACTCCCATGTATACAAAAGCACAGCACGTTTTTATGGTGTGTGGGAAGCTATGGTAGTAGCATTGTACAAAAGCTCCATGAGGTTTCTGTGCAGCTGCCTTTTTTGAAAAGATTGCAGAGACCATTTTCTGCATTTCTGGCAGGTTCAGCAGCCTATTCAAATGAATGGGCTGATGTGCCTGTGTTAGCAGAGCATGCAGAAAATGCTCAGATGTAATCTAGCCTGAAACCCAAGTCTTTGTTGTGATCTTTGAGGATTAAGTAATTTACAGTACAAGTATCTAAGAGGTCAGGGAGGGATTTTTTATAAAAATGTACTGCTTGTTAACGATATGTAAATACCTGAAAGTCCATAATCTGGGGTGGACTTAAAGAAGAAGGCTCACTTCCATGTTTTTCAATGTGTTCTGATCCCCAGGAGATGTTAGTACTTTTGTCCTATCTTCCAAGGTGCTGTCTAAAGCTAGCTGTGAGGTTGAAAATGCCACCGCTCTTCCTTTCACAGCACACTGGACAATGTGGCCCAGTAAAGAGATGGCTACTTTGACAAATGGCACTTTTCTCCATCTCAGTGCACTTACCTGGAACATTTTTAACTGGCAAGCTTCCCTCCCCATGCATTCATTGTGAGACTCTTGGAAAAGGAGAAAATAGTGCCCAAAGTCAAAGAAGCCATTCCCCTTGCTTACCTGCATTTTTCAGTTGTCCATGAAGGGAGGAGAGGTGCCCTATTGAAACTCACAGCTAGCCTTAGACAGCACCTAATAAGATGGCAACAGAACACGTTAATAAAAATTGACGTGAGACTTCTGTAAAATGTGCTCTGCCATAATCAGGAAACTGGAAATGTTCACTAAAGGAAACAGGATTATAAAGTGGAACGTACCTGAAGCTTTGAGGCTTATGAGTAAGTGGAGGTATAAAGTTATAGATGGGAGAAGCGCCTTCATCCTTCTTCATTGGCAATGTAGCAAGAAAATAACTAAATCCTACTGTATAACTAAGTAAGACAACGGAATACGTGTACAGCGCAGCCCATTGACAGATGTCTATGTATCAAGGGCAGAAATCCTTTCATCTCCTCATTGTATGGAGAAGGTAGGTCACAGCTGTTGAGTAGTACAGCTGTGGTGGTGAAACTGTGAGTTATTGTGGCAAGAGCTTCCATTATACGTATACTGTAATCTATACATATACAGTTCGGAGATGTCTAGGTTATGTTAAAACTGTGAAAAGAGGATCTCCTCCCTCTCACAGGTATTGAACTTCTCTTTTAATAGGAAGTAAATACAAAGCTTAAAAAAAGCATATCGCACTGGAGGTTGTATGGCATCACTTCTATGTACTGAGCACCCATTGTGCATTGTAGACAATGTAAAGTTTTTTATGACCCTTTTCTGTTTTTATTATGTCGCTTCAGACATTTAAAATAATGTAAAACATATGAAATATTGCATATGCCTATTCAGTATTCTCCTTTCCAGCCAGAAGGTGGAGCTCTCAGTTCGTTTTTTACATGTTTCAGTTTCTCTCTACCATCTTTTGTAAAAAACTCTGCTGACAACAGAGCTCAATAGGGCAAGTTGAACCTTACTTACACAAGTGAATGAGTCTGAGAAGTGACTTCACTTTTGAGGTTTCAATCAAAGATAGGGCGACTGAAAAAAAAAAAGCTCTGTTTCGAAAAACCCATAGTCTTCTAGGAATTATTTATATGTGTTAAAATGTTTATTTCTAAAAAAAAAAAAAAAAAAAACACCAATATTCTCCTAAACTAATCTTCAGTCCAAAAAATAAAATTTTTTTACCATATGCAGAAAATGCAAAAACGGCTCTGGCAGAGAAAGGGAGTGAAAGCGTTGAACTTGAACGTTTTTGTCACTGACCTTGCACATTTTTTGAGAATAAGGGTAGCTCTGTGTTACGGTATGACTTCTACATTACCTCTGCATAGTTTGGGGGCTCAACAGACCTCACTTCTGTCACAACCATATTGGAGCAATTATTTTCCTAATGCCCTGCAGAAAATAGAAGAGTGTGTGTGGGAAAGGAAACCAACCATTTTTGAAACAATTAGCTGCTTTAGGTGATGAGTCACTTGCAGCGAAGAACTGACAACTCATGGGGCCCCTGAGCAATAGGGGATCACATGGGGCCCCCTGTGTCCTCGCCCACACCCAAAAAAGCCTATGGAAAAAGCCAATGAAAAATGGGTACCAGGGGCATCTCATGGGGCCCCCTACTGATTCCCGGGCCCTCGGGCAGTGCCCCGAGTGCTCGAATGGTCAGTCCACACCTGGTCACTTGCAATCCAACCTCACTTCAAGATGCTGGCAGCAGTAGAGTACCAGCACACTATCCTCTAACATGAATATTCCTCCATACCAGCAGCCCGCTCAGGATAACTCCCACAACATGTATTGCTCTCCACCAATAAATCGTCTTCACACCAATCCAACTTCCTTTTTACTGGCACAGATGTCAAAGCAAAAGCAAAAACCAGGAGTTTTAATATACAGTATTTATAAAAATGATATAGGGTCTGGGATCAAAAGTACTATTTCAGTTGACACCAATCTATGTAGTAGAATAACGTCCTAACAGGATGTCTACGACTAACAAGCCGACCTCAATGCACTGTTTAATTGGACAACTGTGTGGCAAATGAGGCTTAACTACTTGCCTACAGGGCAAACCAAACTGATAAGAGGCATGGAGGAACTCAGCTATGAGGAAAGATTAGAGGATCTGAATTTATTCTCTCTTGTGAGAAGAGGAGATTAAGGGGGTATATGAACAACAATGTATAATACATAAGGGGGGGATATGATCTCCATGTATAAGAACATAAGGGGGGATATGATCACCATGTATTAATATATACACAAGGGGGGATATGATCACCATGTATAAGACATAAGGGGGGGATATGATCACCATGTATAATACATAAGGGGGGATATGATCTCCATGTATAATACATAAGGGGGGATATGATCAACATGTATAATACATAAGGGGGGATATGATCACCATGTATAATACATAAGGGGGGATATGATCTCCATGTATAATACATAAGGGGGGATATGATCTCCATGTATAATACATAGGGGGGATATGATCACCATGTATAATACATAAGGGGGGATATGATCTCCATGTATAATACATAAGGGGGATATGATCTCCATGTATAATACATAAGGGGGGATATGATCTCCATGTATAATACATAAGGGGGGATATGATCTCCATGTATAATACATAAGGGGGATATGATCTCCATGTATAATACATAAGGGGGATATGATCTCCATGTATAATACACAAGGGGGGATATGATCAACATGTATAAGACACAAGGGGGGATATGATCTCCATGTATAATACATAAGGGGGGATATGATCAAACATGTATAATACATAAGGGGGGATATGATCTCCATGTATAATACATAAGGGGGATATGATCTCCATGTATAATACATAAGGGGGGGATATGATCTCCATGTATAATACATAAGGGGGGATATGATCTCCATGTATAATACATAAGGGGGATATGATCAACATGTATAATACATAAGGGGGGATATGATCTCCATGTATAATACATAAGGGGGGATATGATCACCATGTATAAGACATAAGGGGGGATATGATCTCCATGTATAATACATAAGGGGGGATATGATCACCATGTATAATACATAAGGGGGATATGATCACCATGTATAATACATAGGGGGGGATATGATCTCCATGTATAATACATAAGGGGGGATATGATCACAATGTATAATACATAGGGGGGATATGATCTCCATGTATAATACATAAGGGGGGATATGATCACCATGTATAATACATAAGGGGGGATATGATCTCCATGTATAATATATAAAGGGGGGATATGATCTCCATGTATAATACATAAGGGGGGATATTATCTCCATGTATAATACATAAGGGGGGATATGATCACCATATATAATACATAAGGGGGGATATGATCACCATGTATAATATATAAGGGGGATATGATCTCCATGTATAATACATAAGGGGGATATGATCTCCATGTATAATACATAAGGGGGGATATGATCTCCATGTATAATACATAAGGGGGGATATGATCTCCATGTATAATACATAAGGGGGGATATGATCACCATGTATAATACATAAGGGGGGATATGATCACCATGTATAATACATAAGGGGGGATATGATCACAATGTATAATACATAGGGGGGGATATGATCTCCATGTATAATACATAAGGGGGGATATGATCTCCATGTATAATACATAAGGGGGGATATGATACACATATCCCCCCTTATGGGGTTGGAGGGAGGGGCATTGTACTGGAGGGGGTGGGAGGAGGGAGAAGCTCTATGTACTGGGGAAAGAAAGAGGGGTGAGGCTTGTAGTGAGGAAATGGGGGTTGGAGGGAGGAGCATTGTACTGGAGGGGTGGGAGGAAGATGGGCTCTATGTGTTGGGAGTGGGAGGGGGAGCTCTGTGTAATGGGGGGACTAGAGGGTGCTGGGGAGGATAGAAGGACTGGGTGCTCTGCACTGAGATCAGAATGAGGGGCAACAGCATACCTAGGGAGTGCTGGGGGGGTTCAGATACACAGGTGCCAATGCAGATCAAGTCTCATGGCACACACAGTTGTCATTTCCTCTGATTGCTCACAGTGCACCAGCACTGAATCACTCCACTCCTCCTGCCTGCCCTATAGAAAAGCATTCTTAATGACCCTACTGTTACTTAGCTATTCAGTGCTGCAGAGGGGGTCACCCTCCTCCATAGGTCCTGCCCACATTGCATCATGCTGCTATACGCATTTTTTTTTTTTTTGAGGGGGGGGGGGGGGTTGGCGACTTTCCCATTTTCGTCTAGGGCGCCGGTTGACTTTGTCCTGGCACTGTAGAAATGGAAATGCAATTCTTTTCTGTATGCTTTTACTCAACCTAGCTGTCATAGAGTCCCATCATCAGCTTTATTGGCCATCTTGCATTATGCAATGTATACTCAGCATTACAGTACTGTACATGTTTTTCTGCATGTTTACCATTTGATGAGTTTTATCATTCCTTTGTCCATACCATGATATACTTTTGGGTATTTCCCAGTCTACCTATTCTAGAAATAATTAGTGAGGTTAACCATATCTCTTGTATATTTAATAGTCCCTTTAGGCTCACACCTAAGCAGAGCTTTAACCAGGGGCGGACTGACAACTCATGGGGTCCCCCGGGCAATAGGGGATCATGGGGCCCCTGTGTCCTTGGCCAAACTAAAAAAAAAACTATGAAAAAGGTACCAGGGGCATGTCATGGGGCCCCCTATTGATCCCGGGCCCTTTGGCAGTGCCCGAGTTTCCAAATGGTCAGTCCACCCCTGGCTGTAACACATATCCACATTAGCTTTTTTTTGCGCATTTTGAAGCTTTTGCGCTTGTCACAGATAGGGCAGCCTATTTACATCCCAAAGTAGCTCCAAAACGTTTATTGAAGCACAGTCTGGCATGTTTTTTCACTTTGAATTTTGACAAGTTTTCCTGTCAACATGCGTGGCAAACATGTACCTGCTACCCAGGATTCATGTGCAATTAACAATTAAAGGCACTGAAAGCACAATGTGTGTTTTAAGCGTGTGGCAAAACATGCATTTCCTGTGTGCTTTGTCACATGTTTTGGAAGCACCAAGTGTGAATGGAGACTAATAGTCCCCCAATAGAAGCTGATATACATCTGGTTGTTGACCAATTCAAACTATTCACACAGTTCTGAAGTGTGACATACCCCTCATATAGCCAGCATGGAAGAAAAATAACCTCCTTTATATCTATATGTATCTATTCTTTTGTTTGTCTATCTGTACTGTGATGCACGAATCCTTGAAGATAACACATGGCCACAATTTAGGATTAGAAAAAAAGTTTATTTTAAAACTGCTAAAGGGGTTCTTTACTATTAGAGGAGTGAAAATGTAGAACTCTCTTTCCCAGGAGGTGGTATTACCTGAGGACTATTAACTTCCAAAAATGTTTAGATATCCTGCTCAGTCAGCATAATATAAAGGGCTATGGGGGTTAAATTCAAAAGGAGTTGGATCCAGAGATTTCCTTGAATGTCAATATGGGTTAAACACAAACTGGCAAATACACAAAGGTTGGAGTAGATAGATCTGTCTTTTTTCAACCTCATAAACTATGTAACTATGTAAGTATGTATGTCAAGCTTGTAAAATCTCATTTCATATACTGGCAGGCATACAGGCATTCTTTATCTTTATTACTAAAGGATCCTTTATTTTTATTGCTCAATTGCCTTCTGTCCACAATCATTATGTTGCTACTCATAGTGATTTTGCTACTTTTACTGAGATTGTATTGGAATAGCAAAACACGCTTAGTCTGCTTTACCTTGATCATGAAAGTCGCTTCTATCCACAATTATTATGTTGCCTTTCATAGTAATCTTTCTGTTTTTCCTAATATTATACAGCAATAGCAACATAATGGGGTTGAGCTCTGCATAGACACCAATCTGCTTCCAGGGTTTTTTTTTTGTGTGAAAGCTTAGTTGAACACGCTGATGTTAGAAGCTGATTGGTTACTATGTACAGCTGCACCAGATTCTGAGGGCTCTAGTTTTAGTAAATCTCTCCCTCTGTGTGCCTGTATCTTCAATAGTCTGTTCAGCCGCCATGCTCCTTTCCCTATCATAGCCTGCCTCTTGCAGCCTGTGGGAGCCTGGGACGTAACATTCACAGAGAAGGAACGTATGCCCCCATCTGGATGTGACGTGCCTGAGTGGTCCAAATTGTGCACTGAATTACTTTATATAAATATATATATATATATATATATTATGTGTGTGTGTGTGTGTGTATATATATATATATATTTATGGACAAAAAGTACAATAACTGTGGTCAGACCTTGCGGGAGATGGGTCCAGGTTAGCCTCACCCCCAATAACTTCTCTCCAAAGCAAACATAGTGAATAAGGGGAGAGCGTGTACAGAATAACATGATGTAGGTGGTATTTCAATCCACTACTAACCAGGGTCATCTGATATGCTCGGTGAAAGGGGCAATGAGGAAAGAAGGGTGAGTAAAATGGCATCATACGGTGCATTGTAAGTGAGACTAAGTAAGGTGGGGTCCTACACGATGAAGGACATGTTACCATGCAAGCTGTGTTAGTGAGTATAGGCAATGGGGGTTTCAGATGGTGCACATCAATACTGTATGTAGGAAGGGGCAGTTGTTGAGCAACAGGAGTATGTGTAACCAAGAAGAGTATCATAGAAATGAGCGGAGAAGCAGGTAAAGGAAATAGAATATATAAGGAAAGGAGAGAGAAAAACATAGATGAGGGGAGGGGGAGCAAGAGGGGAAGGAAAAAAAGAGAGAGAGGGGGAACGAGAAAGAGAGAGAGAAAAAAAAAGGAGGGGGGGGGCTGGAAAAGAGGGTAGAAAGGAAATAAGGGGGAGGAGGAGAGTGTACCCTGGCAGAGAAAGGGCAGGGGAAAGTTGTAGGGAAGGGGAGGGAAGGGAGGGCAATGGGAGGGGGGTGGAGAGAGAAAGGGGTGATGGGTTGTAGTCTAGACCTTGAAACATACACAGGCCTTTAAGAAATAGAGCCCGATCAAAAACCAAGGTCATTCATTATAGAACGCAGCGCTACGCACCTAGCGGTGTGTGGGGTATGTCGAAGTACAGCGTAAATGGGACAGAGATAGCCTATGGGTATGCATGCATAATTCTCAACAAGAGCTCACTTCAGGTAGTGCATTGGTGGGACGTTCCCATAAGGCTATGGTATTCCAAGGTAGTTTGAAAAAAAAAAATAAAAAAATATATTATATATGTATATATATATATATATACATTCATTATACACTCACTGGCCACTTTATTATGTACAGCTGTGCAAATGTTTGGTAACACAAATTGGTAACCAGCCAATTACATAGCAGCAACTCAGGGCATTTATGCATCTAGACGTGGTGAAGATGGCTTGCTGAAGTTCAAACTGCGCATCAAAATGAGGAAGAAAGAGTATTTAAGTGACTTTGAACGTGGCATGGTTGTTGGTCTGAGTACTTCAAAACTGCTGATCTACTGGGATTTTCATGCACAGCCATCTCTAGAGTTTACAGAGAATGGCCCGGAAAAGAGAAAATATCCAGTGAACAGCAGTTGTGTGGAGGAAAATGCCTTGTTGACATCAGAGGTCAGAAAATAGGCAGACTGGTTTAAGATAATAGAAAGGCAACAGTAACTCAAATAACCACTCGTTACAACCAAGGTATGCAATGGAATGTTTCCAATACCTTATTGAATCTCTGCCATGAAGAATGAAGGCAGTTCTGAAGGCAAAAGGGGGTCCAACCTGATACTAGCAAGGTGTACAGAGTAAAGTGAGTAAAATCACCGAATCAGTGAATAAATCAGAGGACTAAAAATATATTTTATTTCCTATATGATTGTAATATTTGTGATGATATGGTGAACAAAAGGGGGGCAAAGTAACATTGAAATCTTTTACCCCACTATATATAATCAGACACATCAGTGATCCTATCACATCATGATCCATTACCGCCGTCTTTTCATCTTCGCTATAAATACAGAGCCGACTATTACGAGAACAATGATCACGACAGCAGCCATACATATTGTAAGTATTGCTCCAAAGGGTTCAGATGACTCTTCATGTTGCTCTGCACAAAGGAAACACAACATAATTATGATGTCACAGCAGTCAATGCCAATGATGAATATGTATTTCTTTTGTTTATATTCCTATACTAAATCACCCGGGAAAATCTTAATCTCTGCAACTTTTCTTTAAAGCAGATAAGCAGTCCTTATTACATGACAAATATACAGGACTTATGTAAGTAAGGAGTGTATTTATATTTATAATAAATAGGGAGTACTGTTACCGGTATTGGTGCCGATTCCTAGTATTTTCATGAGTACTCATACTCGTGAAAATGCTCCTGATAGCAGAAACCGATACTTTGCAGTGTGATTTGCGTCAATACAAATTGCACCGCAAAGATTAGCATGCAATTTGAACAGTAATGTGATTCCTGTCCAAACTGCATGCAGTTTCCCCACTGCTTCTGTGTGAACCCAGGCTTGTCATAACCTGAGATCACACAGGGGCGGTGTGGGGGAAACCTCCCTGCAGGGATCCCATGCTGATCGGAGAGTGGGCTTGTGGGGATGTATACTATGGAAGCAGATCGTCCATATTCTCAGTAGTAGGAGAGGATAGAAAGCTGCTTCACAGGTCTGGGGATTTGAAATCCCTGCCACTTTCTCTCTTCGCAGGTATGACAGTTTGGGCTAGAGATTTGGGTTTTTGATTGGTCAGCACCATCACACGGACTGTGCCGTCTAGCCCGTACTGTGATCGCTTCAAGGAGAGGGGGAGAAAGCGGTGGGGATTTCAAATCCCCAGACCAGGGGCAGACTGACAACTCATGGGGCTCCTGGGCAATAGGGGATCATGGGGCCCCTGTGTCCTTGGCCAAACTCAAAAAAAAACTATGAAAAAAGGTACCAGGGGCATGTCATGGGGCCCCCCTATTGATCCCGGGCCCTTTGGCAGTGCCCGAGTTTCCAAATGGTCAGTCCACCCCTGGCTGTAACACATATCCACATTAGCTTTTTTTGCGCATTTTGAAGCTTTTGCGCTTGTCACAGATAGGGCAGCCTATTTACATCCCAAAGTAGCTCCAAAACGTTTATTGAAGCACAGTCTGGCATGTTTTTTTCACTTTGAATTTTGACAAGTTTTCCTGTCAACATGCGTGGCAAACATGTACCTGCTACCCAGGATTCATGTGCAATTAACAATTAAAGGCACTGAAAGCACAAATGTGTGTTTTAAGCGTGTGGCAAAACATGCATTTCCTGTGTGCTTTGTCACATGTTTTGGAAGCACCAAGTGTGAATGGAGACTAATAGTCCCCCAATAGAAGCTGATATACATCTGGTTGTTGACCAATTCAAACTATTCACACAGTTCTGAAGTGTGACATACCCCTCATATAGCCAGCATGGAAGAAAAATAACCTCCTTTATATCTATATGTATCTATTCTTTTGTTTGTCTATCTGTACTGTGATGCACGAATCCTTGAAGATAACACATGGCCACAATTTAGGATTAGAAAAAAAGTTTATTTTAAAACTGCTAAAGGGGTTCTTTACTATTAGAGGAGTGAAAATGTAGAACTCTCTTTCCCAGGAGGGGTGGTATTACCTGAGGACTATTAACTTCCAAAAATGTTTAGATATCCTGCTCAGTCAGCATAATATAAAGGGCTATGGGGGTTAAATTCAAAAGGAGTTTGGATCCAGAGATTTCCTTGAATGTCAATATGGGTTAAAACACAAA